AGGCTCTTTAACAACACGAGATGCAGAGCGACACGCGGAATATGATCTTGGGATCTCACCGCTTGTTGATGTATGAGGCTACACATTTCAAAACAGGCTCATTACATGCATGCATGTGATTTAATGCAGCTGAGCACGTTTGAAACCTGGCCTCTGGGAGCCACTCTCTGACAATCAGAGACCAAAAGAGACTTTATTTGTACTTTTATATTATTATTATTATAATAATTTTGTCATTTTTAATCTATCTATCTATCTATCTATCTATGCACCAGTGTTCAGTATAAATTCAGTATTATTTATATTATATTTAACTTATATTTCTATAATTATATATATAATATTTTGAATTAGCTTTTTTATATTTTCAGTTTTCATTTTAATTTATTTTTATTATGTGTTTTATCAGTTTTTAAAAATATTTCTATTTAGCTTTAATTAACTACTTTATTTATTTATTTCAGTTTTATTTTTTCTAATTTTAGAACTTCATATTCAACTTATTTTACTTCAGTTATAGTTGCCAGTGCAACATCTCAAAGTATTAAATATAATTTTTATTAATTTATTTTGTATTTTTATTTTTTGCAAAGGCTTGTTTAAATGATTTGAGTGTTGCTGTATTTTTTTCCATAAATAAAATGTTGCATAAAATACTTTACATAGATGCACTCTAGGCTAAACTGCATTAGCACAAAAATCATTTCTAAGTACCAAACCGCAGATACACGGGAGATCTGATTGAATTACTCTTAGGTTAACCATAAAATGGCGAAAGTGAGTTATTTTAGCCCCTCAGCTACAGTCTTACCACGGTGAATGCATAAAATTGTGCTTCTCTCTGATTTTTCACTCTTGCTGCAGTCAGGCGGCATAAAAAATGTATAGCAGCGATAGCATCTCTCGCTCTAGTTCCCTAAGCCATGACCCAAGACAGGCTTAACTGGGAAAATAGTTTGCTAAATGTCAGCCGGGTCCAAGAAGCTCTTGCTCTCCAGAGGACCTCACTGACCCAGTGCTCTGTGTTCAGTGACGCTCAGGGGAAGCTATTTTGAAACCTTAGCCTGTTAAGGTACAAGCTAAAGCTACTCATTCAACTACTGTCAAGCTACCCTTTAGTAAACACTGTACTTAGTTAGCTACATTACTAACACAAAACAGCTAACATCATTCAAGAGACAGAGAGAGACAGCTAGCTAGCTTGCTAGCATAGCTTATCTGGCACAAAAACAATAAGAATTTTAAATTAAGGTGACAACATAAAGCAATAAAACTATTGAACACCAAAATTTATATAACTTGAACTTCAAAACGTGTTTAGTTTAGTTTATTTGTTTATAGGGGCAACGCACATTAATAAACATGGCTGTAAATGTGCCAGAATTAGCCAAAAAGGCTATTTTTTTCATCTGTAGACCCTTGACAGAATGTTAAAAAATAAAAGAATTTTATAAAACAGAGCATCTTATACAAATACACACACACATATACACACCCACAAATAATAAGAAAAAAACTTTAAATACTAAAAAAAAAATACAAGTACATGAATCCACATGGAAATACTAAAATATAATAATAGGAAGTTATCTAAACAAAATATTGTGGTACATATGAGGTAAGAGAGATAGTGAAAAGAGAAAACAAATAACCAAGAGCAATTAATACAAAGAAGTCTAAAATCAAAATATGAAAATACAGTACTAATGTTGACAGTGCTGAGTTGTGAGTAACCATTTTTTAAGATGAAACTAAAAAGAACCATATGTATCCAGTCTTCTAATTGTTAATGGGATGGAGTTTCATTCATTCAAATTTACATTTCCTGAGAGGAATAATACTGTCACCTCTTTCGTCACCCCTTGTGGAACGATGAGCAGTTGTTCTAATATTCACAAACTGTTTTAATTGACCTTTCGCAGGGAGTTTGATTGACAGGCTTTCTGACCAATCATAATGCTGAATATGCCATTTTAGTCCGACAAACAAACCAGACAGGAGAGTAATTCAACGTCGGTGGACTTGAACTTAAAAATTGTTTGTATTGAAGTTTATTTCATGCAACTAGTAAAGAGGAAGAGATGATCAGTTCATGTGCCGCTGGCACTACACTCTGGCACTACATTTAAGCTATTAGTTTTGGTAACAAAAACATACACGCTGTTTTAGAGATGTTAAACTCTAAACAGCATTGTTCTAGCCAAGCTGTGACATGAACCAAGGATTTTGTAAGTTCATTTGCAACTTGTGCGACACTGCTTCCATGTATATAGATTACAGTGTCATCCGCATACATTTGGATGTTAGTGTTGGGACAGACGGATGGAAGGTAATTGATATACAACGTGAAAAGGAATGGACTCAGAATAGATCCTTGGGGAACGCTTGTGGATATACTTAAGGGGTCTAACTTATGATTGTGTATTCTGACATACTGTCTGCGACCGGACAAATGTGATTCAATCCATCTCAAAGTCTAATAATTTAGACATAATAATTCTGTGGTTTACAGTGTCAAAAGCCTTCCTGAGGTCAAGAAACACCTCGCCCCAACAACCCCACCTTTGTCTAATAGAGACTTAACTTTTTCACTGAAGTAACGTTTTGCCATCTCAGTTGAATAGTTTGCTCTGAAGCCAAATTGCATTAAATGCAAAGCAAATGAACTGGTATTCAGATAATTAGTGATTTGCGCAGCCATCGGTTTCTCTGCAACCTTTGAGACAATAGATAAAATAGTAATAGGTCTGTAATTACTAGCAGAATGAGAATCTCCGCTTTTGAATAGAGGCACAATAAAAGATGACTTCCAAGCATGTGGGAGCATCCCTTGAGAAACTGAAAGGTTGATCATTTTGGTGATAGGATTAACTAGTGACTCACTAAGCTCTTTAAACATTACTACATCCATACCAAATATATCTTTTGCTCTGGACGGTTTAAGAGATGTAATTGTTCTTATGACATCTAATTTAGTGACTGCCCTTAATGTAAGGACTTGTTCCAGTGAATTAACCGTTCAAACTTCTATATACTCAGGAGAAAAACATTGTGCAATTGTGACTACAGAATCAATGAAGTAATGATTAGGTACTTTGGCCACTTCAGCTGGATTATTAATCAGCTTCCCATTTACTTTTAATTAAAGTGATGTCCTATCTTTTTATCTCCTTTTAAATTATTCAACTGGTTCCAGATTATTTTAAAATTACTGCTTGCCTGTTCAATTATCTTCAGGGAAAAAATCTGGCTTAGCTTTTCTGAGTGTCTTTACCACCTTGTTCCTTAATGTAATGAAATGTTGTCATTTCATAATGGAACGAAATCATGACTTAACTAATATTTTTTTGAGAATATTCGACTGTCTTCCTCCTGATCTTTTCCGATTAATAAATCACCCCATTTAATCTGATGGAACGCACATCTAAATTCATCTAGTTTATGTTTTGGGACACCATAAGGATCATATTTCCTTACGAATTAATTGAATCTCTACTAGATAATTTTCTGGCCACTAAAATCAAATTGTGAGCAGAGAGGCCTGTTAAAGGGGTCATATGATGCGATTTCAAGTTTTCCTTTCTCTTTGGAGTGTTACAAGCTGTTTGTGAATAGATAAGATCCCTAAAGTTGCAAAGACTAAAGTCTCAAACCCAAAGAGATATTTTTTATAAAAGTTAAGACTGGTCCACACCCTCCTAAAATGCCTTGTTTAAACCCGCCCCCACATGTCTACGGCACGATGTGGGAAGATTTGCATAACGCCGCCCAAAAGAAAGAAGGCATAGCTTTATTTTTCCTGCTAGCCGCCATGTTGTGAAGACGCTGTGTGTTTCGTTGTGAAAGTGAAAATACTTTGTGTGGCCTTCCAAAAGAGGACACGACTAGAAATCAGTGGTTAAGTTGTATTTACAATACTGTTCCAGAACACTTCAACCCAAATATTCAGATGTGTGCAACGCATTTTACGGAGGACGAGGACTGTTTCCTGGGAGAGTAGCCTACAATTCCGGTGTTCTGACAAATAATGCTGACTCACAGCCTGTAAGTACGTTTTCATATTTAAAGGATTTACCACTGACGATTCAAACGCGAGTTTTGAGCAGTGTAGAGTAGGGCTTGTTGTTCGTCATTTCTCCCATCACAAATGCAGACATGGTTTTACTTACTAAAAATTAAATGAATTTGAGTCCTTGTTGAATTAGTTATTCTTGTAGGCCCATTAATCAGTTGCTTCAGATCGAAATGATCATATATCTGTTTGAGACTATTTCTAAATGTTTTGTCATCCCAATTAATATTAAAATCTTTCATAATAATAACCTCTTTCAACAAAATCACACAGTTTTAGTAATTGTTTCAAGTTTTCATAAAAACTAGTATTAGAAGAGGGAGGTTGAATAAGATTCAGACCAATACATTCCAAATCCATGCAATTTGACCAAGCGATTTCATTACACTGGATGCCAGTTTTCACATAAATCATAACTCCACCCCCCCTTAGAACCAACTCTATCTTTCCTATACAGTTTAAAACCAGGTTCTTCTGATGCTGCTGACGGAATTTTCATGAAGCCATGTCTCGGATAAACAAAGACCATCTAAATTAGAATCTAGTAAAATTATTAATTTGATCACTTTTTAATATAATACTTTGTATATTCAAATGACCACCTAAGAGTTTCTGTGTTGATGAACAGCAGAATTGCATGCTGTAATATATACATATATATATATTATTTTTTTTATTTTATTTTTTTTGCATGAGTCTCTCACACATTACAGACATTTACAGAACACTGTGTGAGATCCATCTGTCTTTGTTTATGCTTTTCATGGAAGTATGACATCATGTTTCACCTTTTCAGGCATCAGTCTAAGTTTACAATTTTATGGAGCTTGATATATGATGTTATTGGAGTAATTGGCATCTTTGCTGCCATTTAAAGGCAGGTTAAAAACTCTACTTAAATCGTATTATCTTTCCATTGAATTTGCAGGTGAGCATCTCCGCATCTGCCCACAAGGATACACCTGCTGCACCAGTGCCATGGAGGATACGCTGTCGAATCTGAGCCGCCGGGAGTTTGAAGGCCTGGTTAGGGAAGCGGGACGTTCCATTCAAGCCTCGCTGAATGCCCAGTACAGGACCTTCGACAGTGAGTCCAAAACTCAAATGCATTCAGTCTTGTAGTTGGTTGGGTTTTGATGTATTATGTCTCACAGCTGCTAACACGACTGTTCAGTTTTTCCACTGTAATGTTAGTAAGATGATTTTCGAATAACCCAAACATTTAAGTTGTCATTTCTCCACCCAAAGTGTAAAGCTGAAGAAGAACAGAGTAGCAACTGCAGAAACTCGCAGAAGAAATGAGATTTAGAGGTTTTACAGTGTACTTGTACTGTCACGGACAGCTGTCTTATCCAGAGTGGTATTTTATGAAACTTCATCTGCTTTTAGTTAACATTTTTCCTTTACCCGTCTGCAGATTTAACAGCTTCAGGGTTAATGAATGTGAAGGGTTAAAGAGTTGCAGCACTTTGAAGCCCAAACTCTCTCCTGGTTTGACATTGTGAGTTTAGATAAAAGGAAAACTGTAAAGCTCATATGCTTTCACAATGAGTGGTCCTCACAGGGCAATTACAGTGGGTTTTTATGGCCTTTTACTGCAGTGCGTGATAAACAATATAATGATAAGAGTAATGATCGCAGTAAAGATAAGAGATTTTGATGCAGTTGTTCAATTTCCTGACCCTAATTAGATACTTTCTACAAGCCACAAAATTAGAATGCATCAATTATACATGCATTTTATATATATATATATATATATATATATATATAATTTAACTATTATGTTAAATGAAATAAAAATATTAAAAATAAATAAATAAATATCAACATGTTTATATATTTCTATTTTATAACAACTGTGGAGAAAATATAAAATAATATTATTAAAACTGCAATGTAAAACAAATTTTCCACAGAAACAAATATCGTTTGTAAATTCTATTAAAAGCCATGTAAAAATTCTGTAGTCAGGGTACTTCAGTGTTGTTGTACTGAAATCTGCAACTACACTGGCAAACAGTAGTCAGGGGACACAGTTGTATGTGATTTCTTTATTAGTTTCACTCTGTGATAAGTGACTTCCTTTTTTATCCATGCAGCATATTTTCTGGAACTCCTAAATGGCTCTGAACGGTGGTTGGAGGAGGCCTTTGTGGCCTCTTTGGGGGATTTGTACCGGCCTAATGCAGGAGTATTTCGTGACCTTTACGCCGAACTGCGTCGATATTACAGCGGTGCCTCCCTGAACCTCGAAGAGGTCTTGGATGAGTTCTGGATGAGGCTCCTGGAGCGTCTTTTGAAGGCATCTGACCCTGAGACCGCCTCCCTACTCTCTGACGATTTCCTGGAGTGTGCCTCCAAGCAGACAGAAACCCTGCGTCCTTTTGGAGACGCTCCACGGGAGCTGAAGACCAAGCTTGTGCGAGCATTCATAGCTGCTCGGGCATTCGTTCAGGGCCTTAATGTGGCTGGAGAGATTGTACGGAAGGTGTCTCAGGTATAGTGGATTATTTTTCTTTTTTAGGATGGGTGTGATGTAGTGGTTAAGGCTCAGGGCTGGTAACGGAAAGAAACATGCCGTGTGCCAAGACCGTACTACCCTTGAGCAAAGCAATTAATCCCAGGGTGCTCAGGGGTGACTGGTAGCATTCGTGCATGAAAGTTAAAAACAAGCGTTCTGCTAAATAAGTTATAAATAAAACCCCTAGAGTGTACACTTATGTAGTATTGTTTGGCAATATTTCCAGTCCCTACCAGCACTGGCATCTTCTTGGCAAAATTGCTCAAGTTCCTTCAAATAGGATTGGGTCCATTTGGGAGCAAAATTTCAAAGGTGCTCAACTGAACTGAGATCTAATTTTCTTGATTTTAAGACTCACCAAGTGTCTTTTACATCTTTGTCTTGTTAAAATATGACTCTTCTGCCAATAATCCTCAATGCTCTTGCAATGCAGATCATAGCATATTTTGCTCCAGAAACTCTACTGACATTGATATTTCCAAATGAGTATTCCAGTGTGAACTCCAGGGTTAAGTTCTGCATCAAATATAGTGCTTCACATCAAAGTCTTAAAGTTCAGTTAAGGTTTCATCAGACCAGGGATTCTCCTCCAAGTCTATGACATGCCTTTTGGGCAAACACCAGCAAAGTGATAAAGTCTTCCTTCTTCCACCTTCCTTATGAGCCAAATTTATGATGTGTTCTTGCTCTTGAAGCGCTATTGTTGCCTCACGACAGTGTCTCTCATCTATGTTATGTAGGACTGTAACTCTTTAGCATTGCCAACCTCTTCTTGTCCAGACACCCAGTTCTGGCAGAAGTTCAATTCTTTGCAGATGCGCAGTTGTTCCATATTTTCTCACCTTTATAATGACAAACCTCACAGTGACTCCAGGCGTATTTAATATGAATTATATCCTTGCCCTGACTGGTATTTTTCAAGAATCTTGCCTCAGATCTGCTTATAATGATCCTTGGTTTCTGCGGTAGGGTGTTTCCTTGGAAATGAAGTGTGTATTCTCCTAGAGACAGGTGTATTTGACATTAGAGTCATACAGCAATTGGAAAAACTCTTCAATGAATCATTGAATCCATGGTGTAACACTGTGCAATTGTGAGAGAGTCCAAGGACACCAAAGACTATATATGGCTTAAACTCAAATATGTTGTTCATTGATTTTATGTGCCAAAATGTATAAAACCATACATACCCTTGAGTGCCATACTCTGTGTAGGTGGTCTGGTTGCACTAAAAGGGAGCAGTACCTTTGAGTGCCCTAGTACCTAGAAAGTCAAGCAACAGATACTCCCAAATTCATCAGTACTAGATCCATGACATCAAGACAAATGCCTACACTGCAGCATTCACGAAGATGGTTGCCCCAAATCCACACATGGAAAATTAGTCCAAGTCCTTAGTGGCTACCCTACCCTTCCTTAGAACTCCCTGCTGCTTTGACAAATGAAAGTAGGGCGCAATGGTACCTCTCCATTCTTTAAGGGATTTCTTACAGAACTGGATTCAGTCTCCTGGTGCCAAACTCTCTGGAGATTCCTGCTAAGCAGACCTAAATTCTTGCTGATGTTGGGAATATATCAGTTCGGAATATTGCACGTCTTGTTTAAGTGGTCTTATGTTTTTATATGTAAAAGCTGAATCCACTGCTTGGCACATTCCAAGGGATTAGAATTAAGTTGCCTTCGGCTAATATACAGCATGATTACTCTACCTTCCAAACTTGGTTTCCCAAAAGACATTAAAGTTACTGCAAAGTTTTTCTTACATAATAGATTACCTGAATCCACGTGCAGATAACATGCTTAGCTGGAGTCAATAAAGAAAATCAAGCTAGCTCACTTATCTTTACCAACGTTCATGGAAAATGAAAACAAAATTGTTCAGCTTACGCTAAAAGGACTTGCAGTGCTTTTATTACAGGAACAGTTCTCCTGAAGTGATGCTGTGTTAATTGCCTTCCTCACAATAGTGTTAGCTCATAGATAAATGCTTAATGGTCACTTTTCCCACAGGTTCCTTTGAGCCTGGAGTGTAATCGTGCCATTATGAAACTGGTGTACTGCCCTCATTGCCGAGGGCTGGGATCAATCAAACCTTGCGTCAACTACTGCAAGAACGTCATGAAGGGCTGCCTGGCTAATCAGGCTGACCTGGACACTGAGTGGCAGAGCTTTATAGGTAAAGCAGAGATTATACCACACAAACTCTTACTCTTTTGTTGGTTGCTTGATTTCTGTTTTTGTTGCATCACACTGAGGAGAGCTGTCACTTTGCTAAATACAGTATTTCGGTTTCGGCCTTGACATGAAACTTACTTGACACTGGTAATTTATTCACACACTCTCTTTTCCTCAGAAACCATGCTACAGGTGGCCTCCAGTTTTGGTGCCGAGCCCAGTATGGACACGGTGATCTATTCAATTCCTGTGAGAATCTCAGAGGCTGTTCTCGCCATGCAGGAGAACATGGAGATCTATACCAGCAAGGTTAGGACATTGAAATAAGCATCTATTTTAAACTTGTGCGAGTAGGTTAGATTCAGATGCATGTGAGGTGTCGGTTTAAACAGTTTAAAGATTTATTGATCACGTAAGGACCGTTTATACAACTATACACAGAAGTTTGTGTTGCGTTTCAGGTTTTCAAGGCCTGTGGGGACCGTGGTGAGGAAGGAACACCGAGTTCAATATCTGAGGAGCCGAAAAAGAAAGGAAGTACAGTTACTGTCCTGGAATACAAACCCAGCCCCAAATCTGCAGCAAGACTGGAGGTGCAGGTGTGTGCATGTCTGGCAGTATCCACTTTTGGCCAACTTTTATGAGTTTTGTACAATGTTATTGAAGTGTGTGTGCAATTCCCAGGTCACAGACGTGTCCAGTAAACTGAAGGAAATGCAGTTTTACTGGATTCAACTCCCTTCGGCTCTGTGCAGCGGTAAAACGGCTTCTTCAACCAGCAGTGACAAATGCTGGAACGGCATCACAAAAGCCAGGTATTACATTTTTATAGAAAATATAAAATCTTTTCACTCTATGATGAGAGGTGTCCATTCAACTGGTCAGAATGTGTAATTTCGGGATAATTATTATATAATCAATCAATTTATGTGCTTTTCAAGGCTAAATAGTTGTGCAGGATTTTGATGGATGACTTTTGAGATGTACACACATTATGAATTTATAGATTGTTACTCATGGTCAGTGCTGGCAGACGTCTGAAAACTGCATCCGTCTCTCTTTTTGCGGCCAAAGTCATTAAATTGATTGTTTAGCTATCACTGCCACAGAACTGAACTCCCATTGCCCAAAGTCATCAGAAGTGATTAATCACTGGATGAGGTTTACATCTTCATTTGTAGATTTAAGTACCGCAGAACTTTATTTTTAGTCAGCACTAATACCTTTTAGCTCCGTATAACTAAACTGGCAATCTCATGGGGGTAATTAATGCATACTGGTATGTGATTAGTGGTGTTTGCTAACACAAACATCCTTATTACTATTGCTCAATTACGGTCCATATACAGACAATGAAAACAAAACCCTACAGACTTCCATTTGGGACTTGAGCCAAATCTAAAGACTAGAATATCAGAGACTTGACGACATACAGCTAAAACACCCTAGCAACCACATAGCAAATCACTCAGAATACCATAACTGCTAAAGCCATTGCATTGCAACCACCTAGACCTTGAACTAGACCCTAGCAACCACACAGCAACGCATTAAAAACCAATCAAACTGTTTTGCAACATGCTAAAAACCAATCAGAGCACCTTAGAAATGTGCTAAAAACCACTTAGTATTGTAGCAGCAAGTTTTGCAAAGCATGACGTGCTACCATCGAGTTTGTATTATTGATGTACAAGCTTGGTTTTTATTTCAGTGCAAGGTCGTTAATTGTGAAAAATGTAATACAAGAGCTATTTACAAAATGTGCGTGATTGAAATGGTTCTGGAAAATCTATTTTTCTGCAGTTACCTCCCAGAGGTCATGGGCGATGGGCTGGCCAATCAGATTAATAACCCAGAGGTAGAGATTGACATCACCAAGCCCGACAGGACTATACGTCAACAGATCATGCTGCTGAAGATCATGTCAAACCGCCTGAAAAACGCACTCAATGGCAATGATGTAGATTTCCAAGACACAAGTAAGCGGCTAAAAATGCTAAAGAGCTAACTAAAAATAAAAGACATGATAATTATACAATTGGCTTCATGAAACAAGAGAACAAATTTGTGTAAATCATTCACCCATAACTGAATTTATTCAGTTCACTCGTTAAGTCTGATTTACTACTGTTACATGAATGAGGCTCAGTGATGCTAAATTTAGCACTGTTTTAGGGCTGGATGGTCTTGCAATTTGCAATAGTGATTTTGTCTCCTTAAGTATGCTGCAATTTCATGTAAATTAGATATTGCATAGCAACCATTACTTCTGTGACCTGTTTTGCACCAAAGTAATCATCATGTTTTTTCCATGATGTGTTTCTAGGTGATGATTTTAGTGGCTCAGGAAGCGGCATGTGTGCGGACCACCTGTGCGTCCGTGGTAGACCTCCAGTCTTTGGGCCGAAAACGGACAGGCCTAAACTCTACGCCTATGCCCCTGAAAACAAAAGAGTCAAAGGATCCGGGAACCAGATTCAGCCTTCCGTCATCTTACTGGTTCTGTTACTCGCGACTCTACTGCTGAGACGATAATGGAGACGCTAAATCGAACTTTGGGATCTGGGTCAGGAAAGGGATAGGACAAGGAATGTTTCAAAAGAAAAAGAATAGATAAAAATGAGAAAAGGTGAGCTTAAAAATTGCCAAAAGAAACCTTTTGAGTGAATGGACATTTTAATTCCTCCGGAATACGACATGAGAATAGGTGGAAAAGGAAGTTTGTTTCTGTGTATGTTTATGTTCTGTAATATACGTCAGAATTAAGAGCTGACTTGTTGCATCAATTGACATCTTGCTTTTTTATCTTTGAATGTAAAAAGATGAACTGGACAGGAAGAATGGCGGTGTAGATTTACAATACGAGGTTCTCAGCCACCTAAGCGACTTACCCACAATTCTTTGCTTTTAAAGTCACACAGTCACCAAGTCACCTCGTGTTTCATTTCACCATGCTTGAGTTACGCAAGCTTGTCTTTGCACAACTGTTCTTTTTGTCTTAAATCTTTCAGAGATGGACATTAAAAACAAAAAACTACATCAGTCTGATCCCTTTTAGATTACAAAATGTATGAACTTTGGCATGGACATGAATTGAAATACAGAATTGTTGAATATCTGAGGAACTGTGTAATTAATTGGAATTATGAATGGTGTTTTTTTTTGTTTTTTTTACTGTGATTCACTTGGTTGAGTCAGCAATGATTTTGTATGATAGCAAGCTGCAATAATAGATGAATTTCACACACAAAAAAACTGTCAGGAAATGTTTTTCACACCAGCATCAAAAGAAAAATAAATACTTTGCATAAAAGAAAATATAGCCTATTTTTATTGCATTTCTTAGTAATTATTTTCATAATCATTTTTATTTAAACTTTTATTACTATTTTCCTCATTTTCCACATCTAACCATTCTTAAAATAAGCAAAATTATAAACAGTTTTATTAGATTTATATTTTAAATAAATATTTGCCCATAGGAGAATCATCATAAGAAGAATTTATTTTCAATTGTTTCATAATTTTCATAATTTAGCAGGAAAAAATCACACAAGAATACATCATGGTAGTTTATTATTATTTATACAGATTTTTTAAATATTGTTTCCAAATAGGATGATTTTCATTCAAATTCGAATTTTTCACTTTACATTAATGAAAATTTCATTAGAACTTGACTTATTGACAATTATCATGAAGAAAACATTAGAATGCTAAATTAATAAATTAGTCAATTTATCCTCCAAAGAAATAGGCTTTCTTTTTAATGAAAAATATTTTTTTTCTCTGATTTTGGTGGGAAATATGACCCAGACATGTGATTCTCTTGTCTGAAATATAAATGTAAAACAATAAGCGTCCAAAGGACAAGAATGCAAAACAATATTTGCTTCACTCAACCCAATGCAAACCCAATGCAAACCAAAAAAATGGCTGCGTTATTGCTCAGAGCAGTGCAAATTCATATTTGTAATGTCACTTCTGGAGAACTTTCAGCACTGATGGCAAGTTAAATAGAAGCATGTGTCAGCCTTGAATATGATTTGCCTTGAATGAAATTTCATTATAGCCAAAGCCAATGGGAAGCAGTCATTTACAGAATGTACTTTTAAAATAAAAACTGTCACTTTGAATAAAAGTTCGTAAGGCATAATGACAATTTTACGAATGATTCCAGAGCAATATGATTAATTAGACTTGTGGTAGTGATGTTTTAAAACATTTCCAAGGAGCTGATTCAGATTTACGAACGTAACGTTACGATTTTTCTGAACGTTTGATCAGACAAAAAAAAAAAAAACACATTCCTACAAAATGTCTTACACTATATCAGCATCTAGTCACTGAACGTTGCATTTAAAGGTGTCAAATGATCTTCACGTTTCTGATATTCGTTTTTTTGATGCACAACTAGGGCTGAATCCACAAGGACCTGGTTTTGTCAGACACAACATGTAAAAAGTTGTGGAATGTAAACGCAGTTGAAAATGTACATGACGTAGTGTACGATCTCTGTCACAGGAAGGTTCGTTTTTGTACTCGGTTGTCCGATATAAATGAAAAGCACATTGTATACTCTTAGTCGATCGCATGACTCAATGAATGGACATCGAGAAGAGCTCAAACACAAGCCTAATGTGTTTCATATGACAGTGACAGATTGAGCACACACTCATTCAAGAGAGGCAGAGGTGTGTGTTAATGAACATTTGATTTTGTTATATTTCAGCACTAGCATTTTATTTGAGGTATGAATTTATAAATTTGGTCTGTTTTACGTAATAAACATGCACAGTTGTTTAAACAAAACGGATGTTGTCTGTGTTTTTGAACCATTTCTTTTCATTTCTACCAGACCTTGAACTTGCTCAAGTCTTTTAGTCGCGTTCTTTTCAGAAAATTGGAAATTGGAAATTTTTCAGAAAAATGTGAAGCCATAACCTTTTACACAGCTAGTGTTTAACTGGCCTTTGAAACACGTTCTAGATAAAACTGTAATTCTCGTTCAGGTCATATTCCTGTATTTCTGGGGTCATGCTCAGGTGGAAGGCCTTACCTTTAGCGTCTTTGGTGGACAGAGGTGAACATGGTCCGGTAGATGCGCATTCATCTCTGATCAATTTTCCATTGACCACTGTGAAAACAACAAAACCGTTATGCATTAGTTCATCATAATAATAAACCAATATTCTGGCCAATTAATCAGCTGATATTTAGCCATTTTGAGATTATACTTCCCATTGTATCAGATGCTGAATAAATAGACAATATTGATAATGTATTTTTTTATCAAGAGTATTTCAAGTAAATTTAAAATAGATTTTGAGCAAAGATTCAAAGATTAAGAAATAGTTTTATTCAGAAAGGATGCATTAAATTGCATCAAAAGTGACAGTAAAGACACTTATAATGTTACAAATGATTTATATTTCAAATAATGCTTTTCTTTTTAACGTTCTATTCATCAAAGAATACTAAAAAAAACTGCATCACAGTTTCCAGAAAAATATCAAGTGGCACAGCTGTTTTCAGCGTTGATCATAAGAAATGTTTCTTATGCAGCAATATTAGCATATTAGAATGATTTCTGAAGGGTCACGTGACTCTGAAGACTGGAGTAATGATGCTGAAAATTCAGCTTTGTTACAACAGGAATAAATTAGAATTATTAGTAGTATTTATTACAATTATTATTATTAATTTATATGTGTAATAAATTACACAATTAAAATATTCTATATTCAAATAGATATCTTTAGTTTTTTTTATTAAAAATGTATTGATATTTCACAATATTACTATTATTATTTTTACTGTATTTTTTATAAACTTTTGAATGATAGTGTATTATGTTTTGTTTTAACAATTTTGTGAATGTCTTGTTTGCACATACCAGTGTTTAGTATCATTGAGATACTATTATAGTTGCGTTTGAATACGTTTTTTATTATTGTTATTTATTATTTTTATTTTTGTTATTTTCCATTTTCGTTTTAATAAATATATGTTATATGTCTATGTAGTTTTTATGAATTTTCATTTCAGTTTTAATTTTAATTACTTTAGTATATGAAGTTAACCTAAATGAGAAATGTTTCCTAGGCAAGTTTTTTGAACATTCTATTTTATTTATTTTTATTTTTGGCCATACAGCATTGTTTGGACCTACATCCTATGTAGAAACACTACAGAGACAAATCCTCCAGAGAAAAGCACACTGTGAACACCCTAAATACACAGCTATCAGGTTCTGCCAGGTTCCTCGATGCCCTGCTGAACCTTCTGCGTGATTCACCAGCGCTCAGATCTGGCCTCATTTGTTCTAGAAGTGTGGCCTTCATCTCACAAACACTTCTTACATAACAGTGTTGTTACTGGAGACTACATCTTATTCTCACAGGAATGGACCGCTGCAGGAGGGGGTCATTTCTCATTTCATACTTTAAATCCCATAAGACCTGTCTGTAAAAACAAATCCTCTGCTCGCACACAACACGACTGATTTTTAAAGTCTGCTTCATATAGTGTCTACAAACCTCCTGTGTGGTTTAAAGATAATACAACGCAGCAAAAGTAAGTAATTTATCTGTAAATTAATTCATACACATTTCATGACAGAAGTAATTTATTCCTGTGATGCAAAGTTTAATTTTCAGCAACCATTACTCTGATCCTTCAGAAATCATTCTAAAAATGATAATTATTTCAAACTTTTGACGTGTAGTGTCAATATTTACCCACAATGTAATAAAAATAAACAATATATTTAAAAAAACATTTTTAAAGAACATATATATACAGGTGCATCTCAATAAATTAGAATGTCGTGGAAAAGTTAATTTATTTCAGTAATTCAACTCAAA